GCGATAGTGCACTTGTGTGTAGCCGCTAGGTGGTTCATCCATCCCTGCGCTCCTCCAATCAGCTGCAGATATAGTGCCTTCAACATGTCGTCCGCCGGGACCATGCGGCATGATGCTTCCGTGAGGAAGCGTTGCCACCATGACAAGGCGTCTGACTTGTTGTAATCGTCGAACTTGCTGATGTCGAAGTGCGGCATCTTGAACGTCTTTGTAGCGGCTTCCGTTCTCGTCTGTAGCTTGGTGATGTCCGTCTTGATGGCGGCCACCGTGCTGCTGATCGAGTCTGGTCCGTTGAAAGTACTTATGTCGCCGATGATGGTGACGACGTGATCGATGCGCTCGTTGAGTTGCTTCGTCACGTCTGTCGTGCAGCCTGGCGCTGCTGAGGCGTTAGCCTCTATGCTGTTGACGCGTGTGATAGTGGAATTCAACAGTTGATGCTGTTGCTGCTGCTACATTGCCTCTGTGCGCATAGCAGTTGTTAACGTAGTCATATCATTTTTGTATGTTTGTCGCTGCGTCGCGTCCGTGCGCGGATGTGACTGCAGCAGTGTATTATTCCACATAATACCTCTCATCATGCCCAGCAGCAAGTTAGCCAGGTTACTTCTCTCTGCCTCTGCCGGTGTCGGGTCTGCCTGCGCTTCTGTAGGCACAAAGATCATGTCTTGGAGTATCGTCGTCCACTGATGCTCACAAGCAATCAAGGACTCCGTGCTGCTGGCATTCAGTCTGTCTCGTGTCGCTGCGTCAGTCTCAGTCGTTCGCTGAGCTTCGGCTGCCGCTTCATTGGCTAGCCACTGACGTTCTGCCTCTGTTGTCTCCTTCCGGGCCTCGACGGCAGCTACGGCTTCCGTAAATGCCAGTAGCCGCCGATGATAATCAGCCGCTGGCTCATTGGCTCCTCGGACTGGGTATGCGGGATGATCTCCGGTGGCGTCTTGTACCGTCAATGCCGTACTTGATGCTGCTGGAGTCGTCCGTCAGCTGAGTTTCTTCGGTCTTGGAGGTACTGCAGGGCGGGCACGAACTGCGATTCTGGCACTGCGTCGTGGCAGTGCCCCGGTGTCCTGTTCCGTCGACATCASTCTGAACCGATGCGGTACTTGAGAAGTCCCGGTAATCACAGAACACGGGGGGTAGGGAGAGTGGGAACAGGGGTAGAACAATCAAGCAATATACATACAATCCCCTGTCCCACTGATGGACTGTAGACACCTAATCAAACAGGAAAAAATAATTTTCCCTTAAACCCTTCGAAAAATTCGTAATAAGGAATTTATAACGATTTAATCAATAAAATTTATTAATGATAATTAACGAAATAAATCCGAATGATAATCAGTCACCAATGTTTGTAATAAAGAGAACCAATTAATGATAATCAGTAAAACAATGAAATAAAGATAACCAATTAATCAACGAATTTGAAAGGTATTATGATTAGGTCTCTTTGAGATCACTATGAGACCGGGAGTTCTCCGTTTAATAAGTGAACTGCCCGGTAGTTGCAAATTAAGGTCAGATACGGCTTAGTGTGCTAAAAAAATTTTCGGAAAACTTCAGAAGAAAAACGCTCGAATTTTCAAAAATGCAAGTTTTCGGGAATTCCTACCGTCAAAATCCGATTTTTAAAAGCCTAAACCTATTTTCGGAATTTCTCAAACAAGGAGAACGAAAAAAA